TTCTGATTTGAATTCAATCTTCTATGTATTTGGCTTGAATATTGACTTGAATCCAATCATTGCGACACATACTTTTTGTGATCTTCGTTGTTCTATGCCCATTTATTGAGTTTTTGATGTCTTTGCAGCTAATACAGAAAGGACCTAACAGGGATGTTACAGGGCGTCCTTTAGTTACAGCAACCGATGCAACCAATCCATGGTGGTCTGTTTTTACGCAGGCGATTTCTGCCTCTGGTGGAAAACTTGGAAAGCCCGAGATTTTATCGTCAACAACCGATGCTCGATTCATGAGACAGATTGGCATTCCGACACTCGGCTTCTCGCCCATGTCGAATACTCCAATCCTACTTCATGATCATAATGAGGTTTGATTTTAGTTTTTCAATTAAATGTTGGAAGATTTACTTGCATACCACTTAATTTCATGTATTTACATATCTAATACCTATATTTCAATTTTTGCATAAATATACAACCTTTTCTGTGCATTAAATGGTGTATTTTTACATTTAGAAGTAAAAAAAAAATGGTATTTTTGATGTAATATGAAAGATTTGGGTGGTTCAAATGTTCAAGGCAAATTTTAAATGCTAGATATGTAAATACATAGGAATTTGGTGGTACGTATGTAAATGCCCCTTAAATGTTTATGAATCTAACAAAGTCTCTCTTTCGGATTCTAACTTTTATATCGAATTGCAGTTTTTGAAGGATACTGTTTTCCTAAAGGGTATTAAGGTTTATGAGAATTTGATCAGCGACTTGAGCTCATTTCATTCCTAAACATGCTGCAAGTTCATTTTGGTGATAATTATCAATCATTCTGCCACTGGCTTCATATTTAATCATGATTAATCTAGACCTTAGATTAAAAGCCTCTAAGGAATGATTTACAAGTATTTATTGTATAGTTTGGCCATCTAGAAAAAAGCTGTTATTGTTGTAAGATTCAATTTTCTAGTGCAGCCATCATTGTAACTGATACTTTAGTTGCTGGAGCCGCCATTTTGAATCCAGCGAACAGCCACCATCTTGTCCCAGTTGACTTCGAAGCTGAGGGGCCCCTGTTGTTTGACCCGGCTGTGGGTGGTAGTATCAGCTCTGTAAGTAAAATAATGTGCTTGTATTTATGTTAAAAAGTTGAGATATTCGTGCATGAATTCTAAATCGACTGTAATATGTTACAAGAATTTACGTACCAGCACTCTCCTTTCATGTTTTATTTTATCCTGCAACATTCAGTTTCAGAATGTCTTGTACGCATATCATATGTAAGCTAATGAAAAGGTATAAATACATAATTATTGTGCTTAGATTTCTCTGTTTAGTTATCTACTTATTTACATTTTGAGTTTTTCACTTATAATGAAATTGATCATTGTCAACTCGAGAAACCGCTCATCTCATACTCGTTCTTGATGGTTTTGATGATGTTTTGATTGGAGAGGACGGAGATTTATAACTTTTTATTCTCTAAATCCATTATTGCGTCTTTTCAACCTCTTGAAATATTTTTCCTAGTTATGTGAATCTTGCCTGTATAATCATATGGTGATTTTAAGTGTCATTTTTTGAAAAACCGATACGAAATGTATGTGGTACTATTAATTTGGCAAAAACCTCATGTTTATGATGCTTGTATTAGCTTTAAATCCTTGGTGAAAAAGCTCTTTGATAAAAAAATTCTTCACCTAGACTTTTTGACAATGTTGGCGAGTACCAAGCTTTAGACATATTCTTATTACACCAATGACATCTCTCATTTTATCAGCCCACTCCATACCCTTGAAAATAATATACACACTAAGGGTTTGTTTGGGGCATCTGCAGTTTATTGAATAATCTACTGATAAGTTGATTAAAAATAATCTGCTGATAAGCTAGGTGCGATGACTATTAAGAATTTTTATTTTTTTTGGAAAAGCCAGACCGCTGTTAGAAAGTTTCCACCGTGCCTAGATAGGTACGGTGTGAAAAAGTTGTTTTCGCCGTTTTGAAAGTGCATAAGCTGCCAAAAAACAACTTTCCCAAATAGGTCAGGTGCGTTTTCAAAATGCCACCATATCAAATAAGCTCCCTGAAACAGACCCTAAATGATATCCCTCCCTCAACAACATACTCAAATTTGAATGCGCTATAACAATCCAAGTACATAAAGATCATAGTCGATGTTGCATCAATTGATGACGGTCTCTTCATAAACTCATTTTCAATAATACTTTTCCCTTTAACATCATTTGTTTCTCTATAACTTGAAAATATCTTAGTATAAAATTATATAGCCATTCGAAACTTCCACGGATCTAATTGAATCATTGTTTTGGTGCTCCACATTATAAATTTGGAGATGAGT